GAATCCCTTTCTGCCCCTTGTTTAGCTAAACCGTCAGCTAGGGAATTAGCCKATCTTTTAACCCAAMGTWYCTTAACTTCCATCTCCCGCACCAGCCACTTGAATTTCCTCCTCTCATTATTGTATTTCAGTTAGCTGATCATCAAGATGCAGTGATTGCAGAATGTTTTGAGGTGGTGGGGAAACCCAGTAGCCTGGTGCCCTTCTTTTAGAAGGAACTTTAGGATTGGGAAATTCCAGACCTGGCTGATCTACTCGAACTGTTCTCCCTTCAACCCCTAAATCTGCTCAAAGAAGACAGCTGGTCCTGGACTTGGAGCACAGATGGCCTCTTCTCTGTCAAGTCATTTGCCGCTCACCTGACAACGAGTGTTTCAGAAGACATGCCTGCTTCCAGAATCTGGAATCCACTTCTCCCTTAAAAATCAATGCTCTGGTGTGGGCTGCAGCTCTAGACAGGTGTTTAACTAGAGCCCACCTATTTAAGAGAGGGGTTCATATTTAGGATCAGAGTTGTGTGTTATGTGGTCAAGAAGTGGAGGATAACAGTCATCTGTTTCTGCGCTGCTCAATATCTGCTATAGTTTGGAATCATTTTCTTGGTTCGGTGGTTCTTGCTTGGTCAATGCCAACTTCGGTGAAGGAGATGTTGTGGAGCTGGGGGTTACAGGGATTTTCAAAGCTTGCTTCAGCTGTGTGGATGTCCATTCCAGCTGCCATCAGTACCATTTGGGCAGAAAGGAACAAAAGACTTTCAGAATATTTATAAGCATCCGGAAGACCTGATATCTATTTCTTTTGGAAAGTTGATTTCCTGGGTCTCGACTTTGAAGGGGAATTCAGGCTACTCAGTTGGGGGCTAGGCTAAATTCTAGGAGCCTATGGCATCTGTAATCTTGTTATGTTTGGGCTGTTTCCCCATCTAAGGTGTTCTGTTGGGGGGCCTTTGTACTAGTATTTCTTATCAATAAAGTTTACCTTACCTTTTCTCAAAAAAAAAAAGAAATAATGAAAGTATCGATTTGAGATAACGGAAAACAAGAAATAGACAATAAAAATATTTTTCTATTATTGTCTTTTTTACTTTTATTTTTATTTCTTTTATCTTCCTTGGTATTTTCTTTAATTTTTGTTGTTTTCTTTTTCCTAGTACTTTTTGTTTTATTTTTAGATTAGAATAATGTGAGAGGAGGTTTTGTTTCTAAATGGGTGATATGAGACTTTTTACGGGTATTTTCAGAATAAAAAACCATTCCCATGGTTTGTAATAGAAGGTGCATTAAGCAAAGCGGTTGCAAAGTAGAGGGGGTCTTAGTAATACACAAACTATAGTGTAGGTCTTGGTATGTACATGAAACTATAGGGGGTATCTTAGTAAATGACCCTTAAAACAACATATTGGTTGAGGAAATCCTGATGGTTCTTTATGTATTAACAGATGGAATCCGTCGATTTACCGATTCTAGATGGAGCTCCTGTTGATGGAAATCTTATGATGATTGGAAATATGGGAAGTGGCATGGCTGAAGATGATGCTGTAGAAATAGAGAGGATTTCACACCATGTTGATGATATGATTGCAAAGGTTGATGAGGTGAGATTTTAATAAATCATGATTCAAGTATTGATATCCCCCCACCTGAAGGTAAATATTTTGTATGTACCTCTAAGTGGTTTAACAACTGTTTATGTTATTAGATGTGTCAGTATGTCTTTAATGCTCCAAATCTTAAATCAGGCCAGAAAGGTTATAGAAATGTTGCCAAATTAAACTCATGGTATTATACCCTAAATTATGGAATTCTATCTAGCTTTGAATAGAGATTTTTTTTTTGGTAATAACAACTTCAAGTAAAAATGTGAATAAGATAGACTGTTCCCAATTCATCTCATTAGATTGAAAAACCTAAAAATGGTTATTTAAAACACAAATTCAAAACCTGATTTTCCTTAGGAGTTCTTAATCAGATGGGTTTGAGTGCTGCCTCAGTTCTTAGGAGTTTCAGTAGCAGATTTTACTAATGACTGGAACTCTATTATTTTGTGATTACTATTGTATATCACTGTACTGCTATAGTGATACCTTCTGAGAAGTTTATTGTCATACTTGTATAGTGGAGGGTGTCTTGCCCTCCCTTTTCACTTTTCATTTTTATATTATAATAAAACACTACCATTTATAAAAAAAAACTGATTTTCCTTGACCTAAATTGCCACATCTTAGCTCATCTCAGGCTTCAAGAACCACAAAAAAAATGTCAACCAGATCATCCAACTCCTCAGTACCATCATCCTCACAAGTGAGGACAGAATTACACACAAGATAGTAGAACATTCAGTAACAGGAATACTAAAATCAAGAACCACTTGGTCAAAGTGCCCTCTACTGATTTGACTAACATCCCACTCTTCAATTATATATTTCACTTTCTTTTCTTGGTAACGCCATAATGGAGATAGTGACATTGATCCCAACAGCAACCTTTATGTCCATGTGTTTCATGACAAAATGATTTTCTTTTTTTTTTTGGGGGGGGGTGTACTTGGAGAATGTGAGTATCTCCATTGTCATATCTTTGTAGAAACCATCTTCATGACCTCAGAATCATTTTTCTTCAAGAAATTGGGCTCCTTCGAAGTTGCTTGTCAGATTACGTGTCAATCTTAGTCAGGGATTCAGCAAAGCAAACTTGTCACTGAAGAAAACAGACCTTCAGAGTTCGGCAATGAGGGTGTAGAGAATGAGGGTTTCGAACATTGCTCTCTCTCTAACACCCTAACAGCATTTTATTAAGATAAACTTTGAATAATTACAAGGATGCCCTTAGTTGGGCAAGAATTTACACAGAACATAACATAGAAAGGATGGGCCAGAGTAAGGCCCATTACAGACAAGAACATAAACAGTAAGAAAGAATAAAAGAATAAACAGCCTATGGGCCATTCGGCCCATCTTCTCTACACTCCCCCTCAAGCTGAGCATAGATGTCAATCATGCCAAGCTTGC